TTTTTTTTTTCAGTAACAAATCTCTTTTGACTAACTGTATGCATGTGTCATAAGCTTATTATTGTTTTTTTAACTTCTGGAGTTTGCTATAAACTCAGATTTAGTCTAAAAATGTGACCATCTTACTCTGTCAGTCTGGGATTGTTACTAACAGTGTCAGTGACTGCATGCTGAAGTGTATATTTTTCCTGTTCCCTTGTCATTCTTTGATCTTGTATCTTTTTCCCTTTCTCTGTCATTCTTCTTCCTTCCTTCCTGACTTGCCCTGTATCCCCATCTTCTGGCTGTGGACTGTGGTTAGGAAGAAGGAATTTCTCAGCAGGTGAGCTATGAAAGGCTGAGTTGTCAGAAATACTGATTGGTTTTATCCTGTTAAACCCAGGTTGTAATTTTAAGGCATCTCATTTTCTATATTGAGGCCTAGATAATCAGTTTAATATATAACACACATTGGCAAGATTATATATCCTACAATGGTTAACTCACAGAGGCCTTTTCAGATCCAATTAGCCAAAATTCATAGAGACTGGCATTAAAAATAATAATAATAGTTAAAATAATAATGGGCCTTGCACATGCAAAGTATTGGCTCTCCCTGGGCACTGAAGAGAACTAAGTTGATTTGGGTTCCTTGAATGTGCTACGCTTAGCAACCCACCTCAGATATTATCAGGTCTCATTTTATAAACCTTATACAATACCCCTTTTAGACGGCTATTTCTGTCTGGATCGGAAGGATTTGGAGCCTTTACAAGGCACTTTTTACTTTTTAGTTGCTGTCCAGGGCTTAATGTCATTATTGCTACATAACTTAGAAACCAAACAAGTCGTCTCGGGTGGGTCAAGTCTCATTTTTCCTCATCCTCTTCCTTTGCCCCGCGCCACACAGTACATGCTTTCCACTTCCTTATTTAGCCACTAATTTACTTGCAATTTATAGGTGAGAAAAGGAATTCATTCAGTGACTCTATTTCATGACATCCATATGCTAAATAAACGAGGATTCTGTGATGAACAGGACAAACCTGTGCCCTCCCTGATAAAACACACCTGTTTGGAGCTCCTTCCCTGAGGCTGCATTTTTCCATGGGCCTCATACCAGGGTACCCTCCTGTGGACTCCTGCTCTCTGGCATTTCCTCTAGAGAAAGTACCTATACCTTTGCATGGCCAGGCCAGGGCTGAATCCCCAAACCAGCTCTTTGGAATCACATGGTACAATTCCAGGGTCACAGGGCCCATCCCCTTATTTGTAATTGCAGGGGTGACTTGTTTTATTAGAACTGTTCAAGAGAGATGAGACTGAGCCAGGGGACAGTTGATTTCATTGTGATCAGTAGAGCGTTGCCAGTTGGGAGAAATGAGCAGCTCTATGAGATAGAACATTTCCACTCACCTTGGATCCACGGGAATTCATGCATTTGGGAAATACATGCTCATTAGCAGCAGGGTTTTTCATTTAAGTTGCCCTGAAAATATAAGGCTGTTTTACCACCAGAGTGATGGAAGTTTCTCTGAGACATAGAGCCAAACCTCAACAAAATAGTGAGGGGAGCTGGGGAATGTATATGCACAGTCCTTAGCACAGTACACCTTGTCACACAGCTGTCCCTTGTGCCCGCATCTGAGAATTCTGAGTCATTTTAGTTTAAAGTCTACCTCACCTGAGGGTGGTAAATTCATTTTCTTATTCTGTGATATTTTGGAGAAAAAGAAATCCTGGGAGATCTGAGGTGCGGGGCATACAGTTGTTTTAAGAGGAACCACACACACCCTCTTCTCTGCTTTTTTCAAGAAAGTGTTAGTTGCACGGTAGGGATTGACGTTTCCTCATGATAAAAAACTGAAGGGGCAGGGGAAGTTGTAGCACATGTCATTCCCAGGGACATCATTCTTGTATGTTTTAAATTACATGCCTGTCTTTCAGGGATTTGTTTTTCATCCTAAAACACGAAACCGTCTTCCATGGAGTTGGTGTCAGTGTGGAAGTTTTCTTTGCCCACAAGGCTTTCTTTGAAAGCATAAAGAAAGATACAAGTGTGACCTTTTCAAATAATCTNAAAGAAAATTATTTTTAATGTTTGTAATATCATTTTTCAAGATTAAGCACTGTGAATCCATTTTAATTGCTGGCGAGTCCCTAATGAAACATTTGATAATACCACAGATATCTGGCTGTGCCGCTCTCAGCTAATTCCATTGTATCGGAGCATTAATACTCTCGCATGCCTCAGCTTTTGCTTTCTTTGTGTTTAATTTCTGAATTCCTCCTTTTAGGGCTATATGAGTGTAAGTGACATTAATGAGCCATGTGGCAATGCCACGAACCTATCCCCTTCCACTCAGTTCCCTGCCGATGCTGACGCTGTTGCCACTGGGCCTACCACAGCTGTGCTGGCGAGCCAGCCACAAAATAAAGAGGTGTGTTGGCATGACATTTCATTCATTCACTGCTTTCCTCGTGTCTGAAATTAACCCATGGGTAACTGAAAATGAGGGCACGAATCACAAGCGTATGTCTGGTTGACCGGAGGGCCAAAGTGATACCGCATTTGAAAAGCATATCAATTTAGGGGAACGGCTCTACCAATAACAATACTAGAAATCATGAAATACATGGGGCAGCGTGGACTACCAGGAGAAGTAAGTTAAAACAAAACAAAACAAAACCTCTATATCTAAGCACTCTAACGTGACCTAGTTTTCTTAGAAACTAAAAGTCTTTTCTAAAATTGTTGGTTTGAATCACCTTTCCAGTTTGATTTTATTTTCTATTATGTTTTGCAGCATGGATTTTTTTAAATGTTAGGCCTTTTTTAAAAAAAACATCTGGAAAGGGGCAAATAATAGTAAATGAAAATACCTTTTCCTGATCCGAGTTGCCTGCAGGGTGGGGTTTTAACAAGAGGCTAAATGGAAAGATACTGCCCATCATTTGTGACTTCTTGATTAACATATAGGAAGAAATGATCAGATTATTGATTTCATTTCTTTGCCTTATTCTTTCACTTCATATGGACATACATATACTTTTTCTTTCTCCTATAAAGCAAAGATCACCTGTATGTTCTGGATTTGTGTTTCCTTCCACCCTTTCTCCTCATCCTATCACTCAACCTCCATCAGCCCCATGGCCTGAAGTCATGGCTTCATCTGTCGATCCTTTCCCTTTAAATGACACACCTCCTCCTCTGCCAGCTAAGAAACACAGAAGGCAGCAGCATCAGGAGCAACAGGTAATTAGGAACTGGTGTTCGGAGTTTGGGAATTTGACCTTGACCACAAAGTTACTTATGTGGACTCTTTTCTTCAATGTTTTCATAACTATTTTTTTTAAAGACAAGGTGCATACTCCTTTGCTGTTTTTTGTTTGTTTGTTTTGTTTTGTTTTGTTTTTGGGGGTTTTTTTAAGGACATTTAGTATGTTGTTAGGGTGTTGGGGGCGTCATAAAGACTGACCTTGATTGTCTTCTTTGGGCTTTTGATATGTTTGTGTTAGTTTCACATCTTCACACTTCAGTTCCCATTTAACCAAAATATTGCAACTGACCTCAGGTATTTTTCAAAATAATAATTATTTCCCTAAAATCCATGGTATAAAAAAATTGCTGTGACAACACAAATTTTTTTGTGTGCATTATTGAAACCATACTAATAGACATCATTCCCTTGCTATGTGTCAAAATTTGCTAACTATTTCACAAATAAATATTTCTTCCTTCTAACAATCCCATGATAAGAATTAATTCCATATTGACGTTTAAGGAACTGAGCCTCAGTGTAGGTCAATAGCTTGCTCAAGGTCACCACACATGTAGTGCGTTTGGTTCATAGAACAGTTTTTATTGATGATGTTTTTAAATAATCTATTTATTATTCTTAATACTGCCCTCCTTTTACTACATTCAGTACATATTTATGCTTGGGTATTGAAAAAAATCTGTTTGAGACTCTTTTCAACTGTAATCAAACTCTTATATGAGTTTGGCCCCAGGCGGTCCTAAGGGGTCATAGTCACTAGATCCCCAAAGTAGGTGAGCCCTAGTGTGCTTGCTCAGCCCTTACAGATTGAAGGTGCCTTTACAATCTATTACCTTTTGTTAAAGGACTACATCTCCCCACTGCTTTAGGTTAATAAATATCAGCTAGTATAAGTAGATAATTATAAAGTTAAAGTGCAGATATTTTTCATGCTTGAATGTGTAAAGATTGATAATCAATTTGGTAATTCAAATTTGCATTAACTTTTACATATTTCAAAAGTTTGAGTTTAGTATAAAATGATAAAACCTAAAGAACCTTTAGTTAGGAGATAACTTTACTATTGAAGACATCTTTTTTGGGGGGGAGGCCAAGAAAAGTTCGGATAAATTTTTAGTTGGTAAAATTTTGCCTTAGCAATCTGAAAAATAAGAAGAAGAAATAGTCAACAGGAAGATTTTTTAAATATAGGGGCTTCTTGGCCAAGATCTTTTTTAAATGAAAGAGTAATCTAGAAGGATGCCTTATATGGAAACATGTGGATTTGGAGTGTGTTCATGTGATTGAAATATTATTCCAACTTTAAAACAACTTCCCCGTTTACTTGCCCTTTCTCTTTATCTTCTTCCTTCTCCCTCCCTTTTCTTGTCCTCACACTGGGATCTGTGCCACCACACAGAACTGTCCAGACAGACAAAGGGAGAAACTGCTTACTTGCTTTGTCCACTGGCTGTTCCGCCATCCACATGGCAACCATCATAATAATTTGTAAGTTGTCCTGAGGCCCCAAGGCTGCAGGCAGTAACTACGAGAGTGAAACGTGGATTTTTTTTTTTTTTTGGTTTCTAGGTTAAGTAATAAATTCTTCTAGTGTCTATATATCTTATCAGATGCTAGCCCATGTCTGTTAGTGAGCACGAGTATAAGTTTAATTATTTGTAATTCTGTTAAAATTCCCAAACTTTTTTTGTAAATGCATACTTCTTCAATTCTTCAGTAACCTGTTTCACTTAGTCAAGTTTTGCTATTCTGCTTTACATTTGCATTTAAAGCACTTTAGAAGTCTGGAAGAAAGGAAAAAACAGCATAAAGAAGGCCTCTATCTGAGTGACACTTTGCCTCGAAAGAAAACCACACCTTCCATATCCCCGCATTTCAGCAGTGCTACTATGGGGAGAAGCACCACCCCGAAGGTAAGAACGGGAAAACCACAGGCTTCACATTCAGGGAGTCCTCTCTTCCTTATGTTGGCTGATGTGCAAAGGTCCTTAAAGAAAGTGCTAAACAATAAGCAATGAAGTTTGCTTGACTGGCAGACATTATAACTAAATTGCATTTTCTGTCTTACTCAGAGGACGTTTGGAATTGTGCTCTCTGGGACCAAAGAATCAGGATATTTTCTACCACCACCACCACATGAGTGGAAGGTGGTGTTCAGTTATGTGACAGACTCCCATGGCTGCATCCCAGATCTAGAAACTGGAGAATATAATCTCTGGATTCCAGGAATATTAGCAACAAATATTTGAGTCGTTTCTGAGCCTGACCCTGGGCTAAGAGCTTTAGGTGAANTGTGTGTGATGTGCACAAGGGAAGATCCAGGAGGCCTTGCACTGCAAGTCCTGCTTCTTCTGCTATGGTGTTAGGACAGTTTATGCACTAACCACAGAAGTCTACCAAACAATGTTCGCTGTAATTAGAAGTGTCTGGACACTGATGGAACCACTTTGAGCACGTCTTGTAATTGCAGAAGTCAAACGTGACTTGTATTCATCTTTTGTTATTGGTATTTATTGAGTATTAGAATTTTAATACATTTTTTTTCCTTTTTTAAAATGTGTATACATTTTTTGGCACCCTCTGTATTTATTTTTCTTTTAAAAAATGAAAGAAATCTTGCGTCTGCATAAAAATTTGCATAAGAATAAAAAAAACCACTTTATTTATAAACTGCTTTTAAGAAGACATCAAAGTTAGGAGTTCCTACATAGACAGTAGTGTGTGTGTGTGCGTGTGTGTGTGTGTGTGTGTGTGTGTGTGTGTGTGTGTGTGTGTGTGTGTAGGTATACGAAGTAAATGATCATCTCATAATAGGTATGCCTAATGTGTACCTCGGACGCATTTTGTGAAGTATTTCTGCTAAAGCTTTATTAGATTATTCAGTTTCACAGTTTTTCTCCATTATTCAGAATATGGAACTGGCAGATTCAGTAAACGAAAGGTGGTTAAGGTGGTTGTGTGAAAGGGGTGTAGTATAAAAAGATAGTGGGGTGGTCAGGGGACAAGTCTTGTGAGTCATGTTTAAAAACTATGTAGTTTATTTTATGTGGACGGGAAGCCATTGAGTAGTTTTAAGCTGGGAGATGACATTATTTGATGTCCATTTGTTACAGATCACTCTGGGCTGTGCTACTAGATTATGAGGAGTAGGAGGAAATGCCAGGAAACCAGTATAGGCTAGAGATGCCAGTGGCTTGAATTCGAGCAATGGTAGAGAGACAGAGAGAAGTAGCTGGATACGGCATCCTGGAGGCAGAGCTGACAGTTCTTGTTGATAGACTGAATGTGGGGATGAAGTAAATTAAGAGTGGTGTCGGGAATGATGCCATTATTCCAGTTTGAATAGTGAGGTGGATGGTGAGTACTTATTCCTGAGATAGGGAAGACTGGGGAAAGAATAGATTCAAGAGGAAAGATAAGCAGTTGGACTCTGGACATGCTGAGTTTGAAGGGCTTGTGTCATCCAAATGAATTAAATGGGTTCCAAGGTCTCTATCTCTTAGTTGAAGAATAAAATCTTTCCTTTTCTATTAATGAGTTCTTTTTCTCTGCAGACTTCCTGGTGTCAAAAGGCCATTTGGTTTTTTGGCTATTTTTGTATGTCTGTAACTCTCATGTTTGTTGAGTAGTTATATATACATTTTTAAGGAGTGATTAATTTAACAAGTCCCACTTTTGACAAACAGGATACATTTTTTTTAAGCAATTACTTAGGTTATATGGTCTATGACTCATATAAGGAATCACCTTGGTTTTGAAACATTTTACTATCAGCTGAACAAAAGAATAACTGAGTTGTTACTCTTAATTCTGATTCATTATGAAAAATAAAATAAAACTAAGATAAAATGAAGCTGTCAACTTCTCGTCTTCAATTTAATCTTAGAAAACCTTGCATCGTATCCATTACCCCTATCTGAAGTGCAAGACTATATTCAGCAGTATTTTGATACCTCCAATTTATACACAGTCAAGTCCAGCTTTCTCCACTTTGTCCTAACTATAAGATCTCAATAAAAACCTTGCTGTCCTGCCTGGAATTTTTGCTTCACCGGCATAAAATCTTGCATGTCCTGAAGCCATTTTTTGAAGGGATTGATAAACTAGTAGAAGAACCCAATTGTTAAATTAAACACTATTTTATTTTTAAAAGAGAGATCCTATTTTATACTCTTTCTTCTTTTTTCATGCTGTTTTACTGGTGCAATGAAAATCATGATTGATCTGTACAGTTATTTTCCATGAAAATTTGCAAGTGCCTTTTCCTCAAATATAAATTCAGAAGTTGTGAACGTCATAGATTTTGATTCATGGGTATTTTCTCTAAGCTGAAGCCAAAACTGAATCATTGAATTTAAAGGAACTGGAATTTCTCAGTCCTGGAGATAGAGTTGAGAACTGAGGAATTTGCCTTGAACTGAAACACCCTCAAGTTGGAACTTCAGCTTAGGCTGTGTGTGTGTGTGTGTGTGTGTGTGTGTGTGTGTGTGTGTGTGTGTGTGTGGTGTGTGTGTGTGTGTGTGTGTGTGTGCACGTTTGTCTTGCTAGGGAATGCTCATGAAAAGACAGTGTCCTTTTTATTCTCATTTAGTTGAAGTGCCTGAAACATGTATTCCATTGCAAATAAATTACTGTTTTATAAATGTCTTAGAGCAAAAACCAATACCCTCAGCCCACTTTTACTCACACTTCAATTTGTCAGGAAACAGAAGAAGAGGGGAAAATGTAAAAA